AGTGGCTGTGGCGACTAAGCTTTCGTGTGGGCGGCCGTGTGGTCCTGGGTGAGTGTTCGGGAGCTGGACTGAAGGGCAGGTAGGGGTGTCTACGTCTCGGGCTCCCTAAGCGGCCGTGGCCCCGCGCCGTGGGCTTGTCTCCTGCCGTGGAGCCCATCGGAGCCACCGATGGTTTCTCCAGCCCTCGGGCCGGTTGTCTTCCGGCGGGCTCACCTGCAGCCGGAAGTGACGCGTGGCTCACGCTCTCACCTGCGAGACGGGCGGGTTGGGGGCTGTGGCGGCGCCGGGCCAGCCTCTGGGTTTGTGAAAGGGGCTCCGCGTGCAGGGCCAGCAGGGCACTGTTAGGTCTGGATTAGATAATGGCGTCCCTTGAGAGTCGGAGTGGTGCATGCCCGGCTCCTTCCGCACCGATGCAAAGTTGAGTGGGAAGGACTGAGATGTGAATGATGTGACCTGGATTCCCTCGTGTGTCATCTTCACTGCTGTCTCCCTCTTCCAAGCGCGCGTCGTTTTTCTCCTGACCAGTTCCTATTCTTTTGCTAGACCACCTTCTATTAGCACTCCCTTGCTCTTTCTCCAGTACAGTGGCCCAACTCGTCTTTTACGAGTATTAATTGGGTCCTGCCGTTGTCACTCATCTTAGAACTCTCGGAGAGCTATTTCAGTGCTCTTTTCTCCAGCTCGCTTTTTCCAGACCTGTGTGACTTGGCCCTTCTTGCCTGCCTGTTCTCAAAACCGTACTTACTTACAATTAATTCTCCAGACCCTAATCCAGCTCGAGTGTGGCCACAGAAATCCCAAAACAAGCCTTTATTCCCAGCCTTGTAAGTCTTCTGTGTGTCTGAATCGATTCTGTAAGATTTAAACAGTGAGACTATAGTCAGCTATCTAATTTGTTTACAAGTAAGTTCTCACTGTGTTCCAGCCTCTCTCCAGTATCTCATTGCAAGTTATTAACTCTGCAATTAACTCTTGATTAAATCCCATTCATTCTTTTGAATGTTACTTTGTCAGAAAGGCCACCACTACCTCACATCTACCTTCATAGTTTTACTTGGGTCTCTTTTACTGTAGAGTCCTGTTCTTTTTTTTATAGCCATCACCACAATTGCACTTGTATATATCTATACTAATGTCATTTTTTTTTTTTTAATGCCTGGCCTCCTAAGAGACTAAGCTTTGTGCACAGAGAACTAGTGTGCCTAAAGCCTTGTGTAATTGAGTCAATAGCAGTTTGTGTGTGATTTATTTCACCTCTGAAACTTTAACACTTCCATCAAAGCCTTCAAGTTTACCTGCATACCACCCCCCACCCCCGCTTTTCTGCCTATAGCTAGAAGCTAAATGACTTTTTGTCCTCTTCCAGTCCCTTTCTGACTAAAAAGAAAAGAAAAGAAAAGAAAAACTCCACCCACTGTGAACTCTGAGCTGTTACTTCAGTTGCTCTTCTTGGCTTCTTCAATTTTTATTCCTTTGTTTACCACTCCTACTCCCACCATCCCAAGAACTGACATTTCCCCAAAGCCTGCTCATACAGGAGGAGGGAACTGCACGCTGCTGGAAGCATTGGCCACCTATAATTTTGCACATACCTGCAGTATTCAGTTCTCCCGCTGTCCTTCAGGCACTTGTTCCAGACTCTCATTCTTCTCTCACCCTGTCCCAACTGTGACCCAGGAAACATCCAGGCTTCTCTATGGAGTTGTTTTCTTTGTAGTCCTCTTCAGCTTCCCTTTACATCTGTAGACTTAGTTGCACCGAGAATCGCTCTCCAGCCAGAGGCAGATAAACACGTGCTGTGTGTTCTGATCACTTCTATTCGGGACCATCCCTGATTGCTGCACAGTTTTCTGTTCAAGTCATTTTCTTATGTTCTCTCCACCCATCATATTATTTTGTTTTCTTCCCATAATTTTTTCTCTTCACTTTCCAACAAAACCATGCATTATTTTATCACTATATCTTGATCCTTTATGTAGCCAAGGTCCTTAAAGGGTAGGTTGCCTCCCTGTGTCCTCCTTTGCCTGTTGCCTGCTGACAGCCTGGTTTTTAGTTTTTGTGTCTGTTGCTTCACTGATTTGTTCATTCATTTTTCCCCCTTTGTGCTTGTTGTTTGTTTTCAAAGTCTCTCTCTCTCTCTCTCTCTCTCTCTCTCTCTCTCTCTGTGTGTATGACTATATGTATATAATCATGGTTTTCAAATGGGAGTGTATATATATGTATATTCCCACTAACAAGATATATATACATATATATGTCATACACACACACACACACACACACACACACACACACACACACACAGGCTGGCCCTGAACTCACTGTCCTCCTGCTTCAACTTCTTAAGTGTTTGCTGGGATTACAGTGTGTGCCACCATGCCGAACTAGAAACTTCTTTTACTGGTATGCCCATTGAGCTGCCAGTGTCCTAATCTACTGAATCCTTCTTTCCTTATATAATCTACTTAATTCATTTCTCTTAATCATTACTTTATTCTGTTTAAAAATCACATTTCCTCACTGGATGGTGGTGGCACACACCTTTAATCGCAGCACTCAGGATGAAGAGGCAGGTGGATCTCTGTGAGTTCAAGGCCAGCCTGGTCTACAGAGCGAGCTCCAGGACAGGTTCCAAAGCTACACAGAGAAACCCTGTCTCAAAAACCAAACAACAAAACAAAACAAAAATCTACGTTTTCTCAAAATGTTGTTTGTTGACTTATCTTTGATTATAAGAACACTATTGATAATTTTGGTTTACTTGATGTATTTTAATTTCCGAGTATGTGTATTTTGAATTCCAGCTCTTACAAGGCTCTGAACCAGAGTTTCACCCTTCTGTGTGAGGGTGACTTTTCCTCTGAATATAGTCAGAAAGTCCCCAGGAATATTCTCTTTGATGCTAACTTTTACCATTCAGTGTTTAGTGTTAGTTCTTCTTACCCTCCTAAATGATGATCTCTGGCACCTGTCAGAGCTTTGGAGCTTCTGGGGCTGCTTGCTCTTAGAACTGTGTCCACATCTACCCAGCCTTTCCGCCTTCCCGTGAACTGGGATTTGCATTCAGACCTCACTGTTATGACTTGCAGCAGACTCAGCCACCCCCACCCCACCCCCTTCAGCTTCCTGTCTGCTTCCTTTCTGAGTCTTCTTGTGATTGAATTCACTTATGACTCGGTCACCTAGGCCACTTTTATTTTGGGCCCTTCTCTAAACCTGCCTTCCTTTCAGCAAATGTTGAGTGCTCCTCACATTAACCCATGGCCAGAGATTCAATATCAGAGATGAATTTATCTCTGGTATTCTTGTCTTAGAGAAGGTGCATGGTTCCTGTCCCTGAGCTCATACTCCCACCAACTGACTTGTTCTGATTGGCTTCTCCAGTAGAAAGTGAGCCACCAAAGGCAGAGGCTGCTCAGCTGTTGGCATTTTGATATCCTAGTGTTTGGTTGCAGGGGTATTTTATTCCATGAGGAATGAGGGTTGCTGTGCTTGTGGGGATAGAATTTATGATCATTTCTTAGAAATAAAGCTTCAGTACCTAAAGAAAGTTTATTACTCTTTCTTCATCTCAATAGAAGGCACAACTGGCTCTTGGTTGTTTTTTTAAATATATTTATCTGGTGGTATAACAGCAATGCAGTGAATATATTACACTAGGCACTTTGTACCTGTGTGTGAGTAGAGACAGTCTCTGTCTCATAACTTACATACCCTTGATGTTCAGATGAAACTGCACTTTGAATTTGATACTTCGCAAGCTAATGGGATGTGGTCCAGTTCTCCCTTAATGATGCTGGGCAGTGGCAGTGAACTGCAGTTCCCAGTCAGTCACATGATCCAGGGATGAACAACTGAAGCCAGCTGAAACAAACTGAAAATAGCATTTTGTGTTTATTTGGAATAAATGTCTAGTACTGGAATTGCTGGGAAAGGTTAGGTACATTTAACTTTTGCCTAATAAATAGTCTCTGAAAAGACCTATACTAATTTATATTCCCATTAACAGCATGTGAAATGATTCTTCTTGCTTTTAATAGTGTCTGTTGTAACTGCCAACCATGCTGGTCTCGAACTCACAGAGATCCACCTGCCTCTACCTCCCGAGTGCTAGGATTAAAGGCGTGCGCCACCAACGCCCGGCTGTTACTGTATTTATTTTAGTTAGCTTTTCTTGTTTATCATCATTTGTACTCTTTAAAGAAGTTAACACTTAGAAACTTGAATTTACTTAATTGGAAAGTTATTAATGTTTTGAGAAATCTTGCATTTAACATATTTAAGAAATTTTATACTGATCAATTCTATATAGCCAAAAGGCTCATTAGTGTTTTTCTTTTCCTTTTAGATAGTTTGTAGAGGATGCCCTATGAGGAAATCCCCAATTCACCGCAACCTCAGGACCAAGACTGTTCACCAAGTCAGCATGTCAGTGCTAATGAAGACATGCCAGTTGGGCAGGAGAGTGGTGGGGACTCAGAGACTGGGGAGTGCATCTCTACTTCCTTTGAGTATGGGCCATCCACATCTGCTGAAGCTTGTGTATTGGCAGCCACAAGGCGAGGGCCAAGCCTGCTACACATTGATCGGCATCAGATCCCCGCAGTGGAGCCCAGCGCTCAGGCCCTGGAGCTGCAGGGCCTGGGTGTGGACGTCTATGACCAGGCTGTCCTGGAGCAAGGTGTGCTTCAGCAGGTGGACAGTGCGATGCATGAGGCCAGCCGTGTGGCCCAGTTTGCTGATGCGGAGAAGGAGTATCAGTCAGTCCTGGATGACCTCATGTGAGTGTGGGCCTTCTGTTTTCAGAGTTTGTGTTGAAATATGACAGGAAACTTCAGGTAATAGAAAGCTGGGATTTCATTTGGGAAACAGAGTTGGTTAGGACAGTCGTCGATCTGCCTTTTGAGCTCCTGCTCCTCTCTTTAGGAACATTACCTGTAGTTAGGGGCTCAGATCAGCTAGTGAAGCCTGTCCTGGCCTAGGGTCTTGAAGAGAAAGGCTACCCTGAAAGCACTTGCAGAATGCTCTTAGGAGATCTACATGGGAGTTTCATCTTGGATACTAGGAACACTTGTCACCCATCATCACCTTTCTCTCCTATAGTTTGTAATTTGCTGTTCCCAAACTTAATGTTTATTCTTTTGGCAATTTTTCTGTATAAAGATATTGAGAATAAACTCCCTTCCCTTCATTTCCTTTGTCCTATTTTTGGCTCTAAAGAAAGATTCAGTCCCGTGGAGACTTCATTTATGTTATAGAGAACAGCACTAGGACTTATCTTATGCTTCTAATCTATTTGTGGCTATGAAGAATGCATTCTGCTTTAGGTTGTTTATGTTCCAGATCATAAGAAATAGATACATTTTTACCGTTTTTTTCTACTTTATGCTATGAAAACGTTACCATGGAGAAAAACAAGTAATTCTTCTTATTTTTCAGGTCATGTACAACATCCCTGAGGCAAATCAATAAAATTATAGAGCAACTTAGCCCTCAAGCTGCCACCAACAGAGATATCAACAGGAAACTAGATTCTGTAAAACGGCAGAAGTGTAACAAGGTGATGCTAAATGACTACTAAGTACTACATTTAAAAAAGGTTGCAGTCTAGATCATTTAACAGGTTAGGAAGTATTCTGGAGAGTACATTTGTTATGTGAAACAATACTTATAATAGAAAAACTTTTTTTTTCTTTTGGTTTTTCCAGACAGGGTTTCTCTGTACTGCTTTGGAGGTTGTCCTGGAACTAGCTCTGTAGACCAGACTGGCCTTGAACTCACAGAGATCCACCTGCCTCTGCCTCCCGAGTGCTGGGATTAAAGGCGTGTGCCACCAAAGCCTGACTAGAAAAACATTTTTTAAAAAACATTTCTTTTTTTTATTAATTTTTATTTTGTGTGTATTGGTGTTTTGCCATGGGTGTCGGAGTCCCCAGGAACTGGAGTTACAGACAGCTTTGAGCTGTCATGTGGGTGCTGGGAATTGAACCAGGGTCCTCTGGAAGAGCAGTCAGTGCCCTTAACCGCTGAGCCATCTCCCCAGCCCACTAGAAAAACATTTTTAAAAAAAGATTTATTTTTATTTTAAGTATATGTGTGTTTTGCCTGCATTTATATATGTGTACCATGTGTGTGCCTGGTGCCTGCAGAAGTTAGAAGAGGGCATTAGATCCCTTGTAACTTTGAGTTACAGATGGTTGTGAGCCGGCACATGCGTGCTGGGAACTGAACCCAGGTCATCTGTAAGAGTAGTAATTGCTCTTAACCCTAGAGCCATTTCTACTCCACAATAGAAAAATTTGGGGTGCCTTTTATATGTGTGATCTGACAGCTCTGGTATGTAGTATTTTAAATAACGCATACATACAGACACACATCTGTGTATATACATGCATGTACCTATCCATCTGTATTACTGTGAGTAGTTCTTTTGTGGTTTTGCATGCTTCCTCAATTCTGCGCTCTTTCATGGTTTTCCCTGTCACTATTTTACCTTGCCATTCCAGCCTCTGATTGGGATCTGGCCTCTCACTCAGTCCCTTTGTTTTGTCTGGACTTCGCTGTCCTGCTTAGGTCTTGCTCACCGAGAGTCTTCCCTTTGTTTCCTGTGGATGCAGCCATCATCCCTCACAGGCTCCATCTCTATCTCCTTTGGGTATAGTCAGCACAGCCACATTGGGGCTGCTTTTAGAGGCAGAGAACTTAAGGGTAGAAAGGTTCTCTTACCTTCAGTCCTGCTTTTTCTGAGGCATGAAACTTTGAAGAGTAGGACTTAGAAATATCTTTGTGAAGGTTGAGACATATTTTGGGATTTGTATACCTCCTTGTGAAAATTCACGGCAGTATTGGAGTGACTGGTGTTGATGGTTTCGGCTCTTGTGCGTGCATTTGACTCATTGCAGCACATGACATACTTGTGCTCTTAAGTTCCATGTAAAGGCTGTGTAGACTCAGTTCATGTGGCTTTCCTTTTATTTTCCATGTCCTAGTCCATTATTCCACCTAGACATCAGAGCTGGCAGAAGTTCAGTGCAGAGGGAGTCTTCATAAATCAATAAGGGGACATTTGGCTTCTTGTGGGTTGGGATTTTAAGGGTGGAGAAGACCAAACTTTAGGTGACGAGGTCTAGTTAAATTTCTGCATCTTTCTTTAGCAAGACTTTGGTATTTGGGATTTTCAGGGGAAATGTTTTTTTAAGTAGGCTATTCTTGCTGAGAGGAAGACTGAGAAAACAACAGATTGCAAGTCATGGTAGCATACTGTTGCTTATGTTCACCGTTGTTTCCCTTTGCCCCCGCCCCAATGCTAAAGATCAAACCCAGGGCCTTGTGTATGCTAGGCAAGAACTCTTTTCTCCATGAAGACAGTCGAAACACTTAAGGTCTGGTTAATTGAGAGGCTTAAGTTCTGAGTTCTGATGTCAAAGGAGACAAACAAGGAGTCTGAGGTACATAGGGAACAAAAGGCATAGCACCATGTCTTTCAAAGTTTTTGATGGGGTAGAGTACTGTAAAGGATGCCATTTGTGACCAGTTCTCAGTGGGCATCACTTTTTCAACTGTTTAAGAGTTTGTATTTTATTTCTTATCATGCTAGGCTGTTGCCTGCCATAGCCTTTTGGCTGCCAGGGTCAGAAATAGAGTTTAGTGATGTTCCTAGAGTATAAAGCAGAAACCATTTCCACCTCCCATGTCAGTCATGTGATCTCAGTGCTCAGGCCCAAAAGTGAGGGCGGCCTGTGGACGTGGCTGGCTGCCCAGGAACACTCAAGGCTGGCATTCTGCATAACAGTGGGATTGCTCAGATATGGCTCTACAGTGATGTTACTGTGTATAGTTTCCATTTCGTGTTTATCTTACTCTTGATTAAAGTTTTAAAATTTTGTGATACAATCTTTCGTATTTGACAATAAATCACTGTAGTTTATATCTTGTGCTTGGGGTTTACAATTCAAGGAACAACAGCTAAAGAAGATAACTGCAAAACAGAGACGTCTCCAGGCCATCCTTGGAGGGGCCGAGGTCCAAATAGAACTGGATCATGCCAACCTGGAGGAGGAAGACGCAGGTGAGGATGCTGGGGATGGCTTGCCATGCTCTCAATTGATGCTTGGTGCCTGTGTTCAGGGCAGGTGTTGTGTGAATCTTTTTCTGAGTTTTGAGAGTAACACATTGCTTTCCTTATTATTAGATGGGCCTGGAGATATCTTGTCCTCCTTCAGAACCAGAGCTCTTAAGTGAGACAAGCTTGTTAGAGACTGAAATAAAATGTTAGCTTGGGTTCTCTGTCAGTTTCTGATGCAAATTTAGTGTTAGGGTTAACAAATTGGAAATATTTTTATGCGTGTAACTTGATAAAGAGAGGTAGCATTGTGATTGAGTCCATTTTGTAATCCCAGCCTCGTCAGTCAGCCTCTGTCTGCTCTCATTGTCCGGCATCGTCAGTCAGCCTTTGTAGAGTTGCTCTCACTTATCTTTAAGGTGCATGGTGGGCTTTCCAAGTATTCATTCTGTTAAGGAAAGACTTTCAGGTTAGACCATGGCCAGGATTCCTTTAAAGTACTCTTTAGGGTAGTTATGCTTTGGAAAATCTCTTGGGAAAATGTATAAGCTCTGGACTAAATAGTTTTCTTTGTGTCTATATTTACATACTATTGGCTGATGTTGGCCAGTGCCTGCTTGAAATGTGAAAAACTGAAGCTTCTTAGACTTTAGTTGCTGAAGCAAACATTCTCTGTTGTCTCCTGGAATGTTTTCTTCATGTAGACAACAGGATCGGCTTGAAGAATGTTATGATGGACAACAGAAAGAAAAATGATAAATGTGCTTTCCTCCCCCATCTCTCTCTCTTAACAAGATCTCACTGTGTAGCCCAGGCTAGCCTCAAAATTGTGATCTTCCTGCATTGTGTGTATGTCCTCACTCATGGCTTTAGATCTGCTTTTATCCATTAGTCTTGTATGTGCTTTCTGCCACTTGGGCACCAGCTTTCCCACTAGTAAAGGAAATCTATTCCGTTGTTTGTCTAAAGCAGGCTGTTAATTAGTTCTCTTGATGCTTTAGTAAAGTTTGGTGCAGAGTTCATAGGTTGCTCCCCATCCTGAAGCCTCTTTTCCCCTCTGCTGAGTTCAGCCTGTTGACAGCAACAGGTACTGCCTGTGCCTTGAGAGAGTGTCAGACCCCTGTCTCCTGGCTTCTTTTCTGCCCTCTGATTAGTTCTGGTTAGTTATTTTGGTTAGCTTATTCAGCATTATCTTAAATTCTGATACTGCTTAGGACTTGTTTAGTTCTCCTGTTCTGTTTCCTCTCCCTGGCTAGCTCATCCATTTCCCATGAATTTTGCAGCCACCTAGGATCTGATGTCTTACAAATCTGTAGCCCCTTTTTTCCCTGAACTTGTGGTTCCCAGGATACTTTTCCAACTGACCACTAGCCATCACTGCAGACTGGTTCCTCTCTTTGTCCTTGCCCTGTCTGCAGAGACCATAGAGCTGAATGCCAGAGTGGCCAGGCTTTGGGGACCCAGCTCTGAATTGCTGGGTGTAGACCTCTCTCAGCCCATCAGGGGTCAGGGAAGTGTGCTGCCCACATGCTTCCCTGAGGCCTTTCCACATGGTGACTATGAGGGTTATGAAGCAGTCCTTTCCTGGATGTAAGTGAGATTATAAACAGTGACCTGGCTTTGTCAGTGTGATCTGGAGGGCAGCAGGCATGCTTGTTCACTTTCTCTTGTTTAGCAGCATCCTGGGTACTGTAGGAATAGAAGAGAGGAAGGTGGGAGAGAAAGAACCCATCAGTATTCATAGCTGTATGATGGTTTATAGAGAAGAGTCAAAAGATTTGATGTGGAATCACCCCATGACTTTTAGTAATAGCATTGAATACATGGTATGTAAAAGTTAGTCATTTTTGTATGCCAGGAAAAATAAAAGATAAAACTTAATAAAGGTGCCAGTTGTCATCCAAATACCTAGAAATACATCTTGGCAAAAAAGGTAGTTCTGCAATGTCTTAAACATCTAAAACCTATAAAATGTTACCAACAAATAAAAACCTAAGTAAATGGGAAGATATTCTATGGTTGATACAGTATTATAAAGATGCCATTTCTAGCCAGTTGTAGTTTTAATGCTACCCCAATATAGATCTAAGCCTTTTTTTTTTTTTTTAATGGCAAATGGCATGTATAAGACATGTAGGCTGAAACAAAAAACAGACGTGTAGGCTGAAGGTAGAGGTCATTAACAAGCTGATGCTAAAAACTACAATCCCACCTCTTGGGCGGCTGAATCAGGAGGATTGCTGTGAATTTGAGGCCAGCCTAGCCTACAAAGTAAGACCTTATCTTACCCTTCCTTGCCCAAGAAAAGAGAAAGAACACAATGCCAAGCTCTATTATAAAACCATAGTGATTAAGACTGTGTGGTAGTGGCACAAGGTTACTCAGACAGGCCGATGGATGGAGTAGAAGATTCAGGAAACAGGCCCACCTATGTATAATCACTTAATTATGACAAAGAAGCACATAAGCAGTGCTATGGTGAAAGGTCTGTTGATCAGTAATACTAATCTACATGAAAATAAAATGAATCTTGATCCATTACATTGTATATAAAAATATATCTCAAGTAGATCATAGATCTGAATATAATGATACAAAGCTTTGAGAACATAACACAGGAAAACATTATCACAATCCTGAGGTTAGGGGAGGCAAAGACTGAAGCAAGACCAAAAACGTACACGTGGAAGAAAGCGGTTTGTTAAATGGATTCTAATAACAGTCAAGAGCTTCTGCTTGTCCAGATAGTGTTTAGACTGGGAGCTGCAGAATAGGTGGGGAATATATTTGTAGAATATGCAAAGGGCTTGAATTTATAATGCATTTAAAAAAAATCTAGTAAAAAAGTTAAAGACAAGAGACTAAGAACAGAGGGTTCAAGATTCAATGAAAGCTGTTGTCCATAAGGTCAGTGAATCTGAAAGGCCTTCTGTCTTCAGTGGGAATCAGTGAAATGATGGACTGGCAAGAGCATGGACCAGTTGGAACTCTTCAACACTTGAAATTTAAGCTAGTGCCACTTTGCAAATCTATTCAACAGTGTCTACTAAAGCTTAACATACGAAAGAATTAGATGTACTTTATTACCTAAGGATGTATACCAGAGTATTCATGGCAGCCTTGTTCTAAAATCTAGCAGCCCAAACCTGGAGACCACCCAAACTGCATTAATAGTAGAAAGAGAAAATTGTAGTATAATCACAGAATAGTGGTAACAGTAAGTTCAACTCAATTTAACAAATCAGTGTGGATCTCATATGAGAATGCCAGGCAAAGCTGGCAGACATGAACAAAGCCTGGCATGAGTCAGGCCTGACAGTATCTCAGGAGGCTGGAGGTTGACGGTGGCATGGAGGGTGCTCCAGGAATAATAGTAATTTCTACTACTTGATCTGGATGCTGATATATAATTACAGATCTTGTTTTTCTGTGGATATTTGTGGAGATTATGATTTGTGTATTCTGATGTATATTTCAGTGCAAGATTAGTGAAAAATTGACTGGTGACATTGGCCTGATAGGTCTTCTTAAATATTTATTTATTTGATTACTTGATAAAGTATTTTGCTGCAGGTGAGCTTCAGTTAGTGAGAGGGGTGTTTCTGGGTGACTGTACTTGGCATATCTTCATGTTTAGTTCATCTTTTCATGTTATTCACATCACAAGGCTAGCATGGTAGCATCCAGTAGATCTCTCTGTGTGTACATGTGTGTACATATGTGGAGACCAGAGGAGGGAGGGAGGGTGTGTGTGTGTGTGTGTGTGTGTGTGTGTATGGAGACCAGAGAAGATATCAGGACTTTCCCCCTGTCATTCTCTACCTTATTTCTTTTCTTTTCTTTTCTTTTTTTTTTTTTTTTTTTTTTGGTTTTTCAAAACAGGGTTTCTCTCTACCTTATTTCTTGAGACAGTTTCTCATTGAACCTGGGGCTTGCTGTTGCAGCTAGGCTGGCCAGGCAGTGAACCTGCAGGATCCACTTGCCTCTGCTCTAATGCTGGGGTTATAGCACTTGTGACCATGCCTGGCTTCCCATGGGTACTGAGTAGTTAAACTTACAACCTCATGTTTTCATAGTATGCCATCTTCCCAGCTTCTGATGGACCTTTCTGCAGAGGGGAATCTCTTTTTGTTGGTCAGTGTGCTGGCCATTGGTCAATATAGCTATTGAGCACTCACTGTATTGCAACTGTGGAATTCAGTTTTCCCATACTGGAAGTGGGCCAGGCATGTGCCATCTGTGTCCTGTGGGCCATATGTGTCCCAGGATAGCTATGAATCCAGCCCAACACATTTGTAGATGCCAGTGCCTTGTGGCAATGTCAAAAGGTTAGACAGTCTGATACAAGTGACTGGCAGTGACTTGTAGGCAGTGCCAAGTTAGTACTTTATGTCTCTGTTAGCTAGGCTTGCTGATTCCATGAACTGAGATCCATCTGAATGTTAGCCAAAGCAATGATATGGAAACGTGGGGGATTGTTCTCATGGACTACTTCTTAACTGATAAGGAAACAGCTAAGTTTGTCTATAACCAATAATGTATAGGTGAGCCTGCCTTTGTACAGAGAATATGACTATAATGTACATTTTTTATTCGAATTCAAAGTTAGACAAAAGAATTAGTGTATAGTCAGGTAAACATTTAGTGTATTTATGAGGTGTTGGGATATTTCAGTGCATATGTATTGTGCAGTGTGTAAATTAGGTTAAAAAATAGCTGTCTTCCCAAACATTGATCATTTTTTCTATGGTGAAAACATCTAGAACCCTTATTCCAGCTATTGAAACACACAGTAGTTGTTGTCTCTGCACTGCTCCTACTGTGAAATAGCACTATAGACTTGTGCTTCTGTTTGACTGGGATTTAGTACCATGGATCAGCCTTGTCTTTTCTCCCCAGTGTTCTTCTCAGCCCTTGATAGGCACCATCCTACTTTCAGCTTCCGTGAGGCCAGCTCTTTTAGATTCCACGTATGCGGGAGAGAACACAGGACTTGTCTTTCTATGCCTGACTTGCTTCATTTCGCATAGTCTCCAATTTTGTGTTGTCATAGGTATAATAATTTCATCTTTTGAAAAAAATGCATAGTGTTCCGTTGTATACCTGTACCATTGTCATACAGTGTCATATTTTGGGGACAAGTTACTGAGAAATTACCTTTTTAAAAAGGAATATATTACATGTGGGATGTAAATGTCATAATAAACTTTCTCTGTGCTTCAGTCCACTGATTTATTTTGTGAGTTATTGAAAGTTCTTACTGTCTGAATGAGTTACTGTTTCCTTTGTGGTCTTTGAGAGTTTACTCGAGTCTTCATTGTTGTTTCCCTTTCAGAGCCAGGGCCATCATGTCTTGGCAGTATGCTCATGCCTGCCCAGGAGGCCACCTGGGAAGAGCTTATCCGCACTGGCCAGATGACACCATTTGGTACCCCAGCCCCTCAGAAACAGGAGAAAAAGCCTAGAAAAATAATGCTCAATGAAGTATCAGGCTTTGAAAAATACTTGGCTGACCAAGCACAACTGTCTTTTGAAAGGAAGAAACGAACTGCTAACAAAAGAGCAGCTAAAAAAGCCGTGGTTGTTTCTGAGTCATGCGCAGAACCAAATGAGACCAAACCAGGCCAGAGAAGCCAAGGCCTCTCCCAAGCAGATAAGCGCTTGAAGAAGCATATTAGGAAGCTCCAGAAGAGGGCGCTGCAGTTCCAGGGGAAAGTGGGACTGTCCCGGGGGAAGAAACCTCTGGAGCCTGAGGTGAGGCCAGAGGCAGAGGGAGATACTGAAGGGGAGGTGTCTGGGGAGGAGGAGGAGGAAGAACAAGAGGAGGAAAAGGAGGAGGAAGGGGTGGCCAACCTGTCTTCCGATGACGTCACCTATGAACTGAGGCCTCTGCGGAAGGGCCGGAAATACCAGAAGAAAGTCCCAGTGCAGGACGTGGATGATGACTTTTTCCCAAGTTCTGGGGAAGAAGATGAAGCTATGGAAGGAAGAGGAGGAGGTCGCAAGGTAGCGAGATGCCCCGATGACGGCGATGAAGCTTATTATAAGCAGCGGTTAAGGTTAGTGTGCTGGGGCTTGTGACACTTGCTGGATTAGGAGGCAGCCTTTTGAAGACCTTAATATTCTAGATACATATTGCACTAGACACCCATATGTGCAGAAGCTGGACTTGCTGCCTTAGCCATGAGAACCTGGACGTGGACTGCTTAGTGGAGCTGGCCCCAAAGACTTCAGAGTCTTTATTCTATCTCAGAGGCAAGTCTGCGATGAGCAGAGGGTTAGGCTGGGCAAGAGCTGAGAGGACTGACAGGAGCTGCGTGGTCTTTACTCAGAGTAGTCACCCTGCAGGCGGTGTCGGAAAGGAAAAGGTGCTGCCGTGCCTTTGGTGTTTTCCTTATGAGGTAGGCTACTCATTTTAGAGAAATTCCCTTCAGAAAAAGCTGAAGCTTGTGCTGTGGCATGGGCGAACATGCTCTCTCTCAAATCCCCCACTTCCTTGATTTTGAAGAAGTAGTTGTGTACAGAATTATAGATCACCATAATGCTGAAGATAAAAACACTACGTGCACAGTACATGTCCCTCCCTTACTACCATATGGCATTGTTAAGACTGAGTTGACTTTCACCTTCAGACTTTGTCAGCACTTGGTGTGAGAGAAGAGGGAAGTTGAGTGTCTGCATGGAGTTACAGCTGCCATTTCTGGGTACTTTCTGTGAGCTAGGAAAAGCATTCAGCACGATAGCACAAGGTTTCTAGGTGAGCTCTGTAGGAAGTCTGCAGAGGTCAGAGGAGAAAGGAACCCAGTACTTTTAAAATAGTTACTATTGGGATGGCTTTGGCCAGTCAGCAGTGCTTTTATTTTCAGCAAGAGAAGACGTAATTGACAGTGTTTCCAGTAGATTTCCGTTGGCCATCCTGGGTGAAAGTTGACCTCCTGGTTTTCGTCAGTTCAGAACTGCCGTAATTCTAGTCCACGCTCCACATACACTGCATAACCTTTTCAGAGTTTCTTTTTTTCTGCAAGAACAGAGTTTCTCTGTGTAGCCCTGGCTGTCCTAGAACTCAGAGCTCTGTACACCAGCCTGGCCTCAAACTCACAGAGATTGACCTGCCTCTGCCTTCCCATTGCTGGGATTAAAGGCGTGTGCCACCATGCCCAGTTTCTTAAAAATAACTCGAGGCCCAGTGACACTGCCATTCTAGTAACTCCTTGTATGGTAGTACATTGATGGGAAATGATGTTTGTCATTTCCCACTATGACATTAGTTAGTGTGCATGCCTAATAGCTGTAATGTTTGAGGAATACTGCTCAATACTTTCAAATAGTGAATAGTGTCACTCTTTACTGCAGAAAATTAATAAAAGTGTTAATCATAACATATTGATTATAAGTGGAGCAATATATAGTCTTCTCATTAAACTGGGTCAATATTAAATGTATTTTAAACAGCAATTTATTTTGATTGAATTTTAAATATGGATATAGTTTAATTTCATGGCAATAAGTTTTTCTTAATAATGTTAAAATTGTAAAACAATTTATTATTTCCAAAGCCATATCATATCTATTTTTTTTGCTAAAGTTACAGTAAAATCTCAGATGAATTTTAGAAATATCAATAACTCTTAATTGCCACCAAAATACGATAGCTCTTAAAATTTTATAGCTTGTTATTAAGGCTGTTAAGCTGCAGATATACACATTGAAATGTTTATATTATATCTCCTTTGGTGCGCTTTCGATTGGGGGATGTTAAAAGAAAATAAAATGCTGAGTATTGAGAAGCATATTAATGTTTGAAATTTGCCAGTCACTGAATTCTGTTATGTGTTGTTGATCTTTTTAGACAGATTGAATTGTAGTAGTAGTCCTTGGACTGAAAAAGAACTTCAGTGTTGCTAATCATAGAATGCTAGAACAATCTCAATAAATCCATAGTTTCCAGTATAGAAAACATTTTTTTTTAAAGTGGTTAAAATCTAAGCATATGTAACCAGGCTAAGAACTTTATGTAGAACTTAGTAAGTGCATACTGATTCTAGCCTGCTCCTTACAATGCTGTTACACTCTTGGGTGTGAGGGTGGGAAACTCTGCTGCTTACAATGCTGTTACACTCTTGGGTGTGAGGGTGGGAAACCCTTAGAATGAACATCTCAGGCCATAGGTTTTCTCAGCTTGAGAGTCACAGCCTTCTCACTAGTTCCAGGCTTATCTTTTCAAGCCATCTTTGTTTAGTTCTCAACCTTCCTAATGTTGGGACCCTTTAACACAGTTCTTCATGTTGTGATGACCTCCAAACATAAAATTATTTTGTTATTACTTCATAACTGTAATTCGCTACTATTGTGAATCATAATGTAAATATCTGATATGCAAAATATCTGATATGTGACCCCTGTGAGGGTTGTTGGACCCCCAAAGGGGTCTTGACCCACAGGTTGAAAGTCGTTGGTTTAGTTAGATGCCCTGTAGGAATCTCTTAGGCCATTTCTGCAGTGTGACCACTAGACTGGACAATAGCAGTTACAGTCTTCCTTTCTCTGATTAGGCCCAAGCTCTCAGGTCAGTCTGAGATGTTCTCACCATTTGTAAACTACCTACACTGTCCCTTCCCATGTCTTATTCCTTTATGCACTGAGATCCTCAGGTGGGTCCCAGGGCTGCTGTAGATCAAATTTCTGAATATTCCTAAGCAGGAGCTATGCTTTGAAGTCGATGTTTGTTGGCTCTTACTCATGTTGGATATGTGCAGGTATCCATTAGGGTTATCTTTCTTAACATAATGCTGGTGCTTCAGAGATCTCCGAGCTAAATAGACATTCTGGAGCTGATATACAGTCCATAGTCTAATTATCTGTGTCCTGGCAAGATGCAGATCCGCATGTCTAGTCAAGCCTGGAAGCTGGGACCCATGAGTAACCTTTCCCAGCACGGTGGTCAAGTCAGCTGTACCTGTGCCTGACACTTGCTACCTGGGTGTTGTGTACTCATTTCTCAGTTGTGAGGTGAAGTCAGCTCCGTTGCTTGGTCTTTGCTTCCACATGCAAATGCATGTCTGTATCTTGGGACTGGCTTTGAGGATTTCTGGCGGGGAATTCGTAGGCTTTTTGATAGTGGACATGAACCGATACATAACCTAAGTATGAAGGGAGCAGTGAACTCAGATCAGGTGCAGAGGAGACTTGCTGGAGGAAGTACATTGCAGTGCAGGGAGGGCCTTTTCTATTCACTAGCTCAAACATGTTGGCGTGGTCTTTGTGGCATGTGGTAAATTAGCCTGAGTCTCAGATGTGTCACTGAAAGGGAGATACTTCATGACAGTGACAGTAAGGAGATGCAGCTCAACACAGCTACCCTTCAGGGATCTCACTCAGTTAAGCCAAACTCTTGGTTACACCATAGAAAAACATCCGAGGACAAGTCAGTGAACCCAAGTCAGCATGCTTAGAGTGAAGATACAGGGTAGTACACACTTTCAGCATGATGGACAGAGATGTTTAGTATGTCCCCGAGACATGGGTTTGGGCTCCTCAATAGAGAGATGAGCCCTTAGGTGTCTTTACAGTTTTTATATATGTGATTTTGTGGCTTTCTAAATTATATTATTCAAAGGATAGCCTTTAAAAATATGTGAATTGCCGGGCATTGGTGGTGCATGCCTTTAATCCCAGCACTCAGGAGGCAGAGGCAGGCGGATCTCTGTGAGCGCGAAGCCAGCCTGGTCTACAGAGCAAGTGATATATATATATATATATATATATATATATATATATATATGAGAATTGGTTTACTTATTTACATAAAGAATTCCCATTTGTATATGAAGTTGTACTGTAGTAAGAGGTGCGCTGCTTGTGTTTAAGGAGGAGAAAAGAGTGCTGATACTGTTAAGTCAAAGTTAAGATACTCTAGCCTCAAGGAAGCATGGCTTATTTGTTGTTTTAACATCCCATCAGCATCTTTAGGAAATGTAGAGTTTTCCTCTGTAGTATTCTTTATGTTTCTTGACTGTCAACCAGCAAGAAGGACAACTGAGATCCCAGCCTGAGGGGCTTCTTTCCTTTCCCATGTCCCTATAGTTTGTTTTCTTTTTATTCTGTCTCACTTTGTGCTTTGGAGGCCAACAGTTCCTCAGTGTCTGATTTGTGTTGCCTTAGAGATGGGGTGATGGTGGTGATCTGTGGAGAGTACTGATATCCAAGCCCTTCCCATCAGGACAGAAACTCAGCATCCCCTGGACCTGCCAGCTCCAGCTTCTGGGAGTGGTTGTCTCTTTTCCAGGAGATCCAGGCTTTCTCAGGGGCTGGGAAAGAATACCATTGTCCCTCAGTGATGTCCATCCTGGCTCCCCTGGGTGGGTAAGGGACATCAGCAGCGTTCCTACCAGCTCTTTAACCTTGAGATGGTAAAACAGAACTGTTCCTGGCTCTGGCCTCCTTCCCCAGCAGTAGTCAGCACTGCTCAGATAGGGGAGAGAGCATGAACTTCCAAAGACTTTTTGTTGTTGGTTTCTGCCGGTGGAAGTAGGGTTAGCATATATCATTTAGCTCTGATTCACACCCAGAAGCTCTTAGTTCTGGTCTGGCCAGCTGTGATTTAAGTTGCTTAGTGAACTGCCTGTGCATCCTTAGTAAGGAGCAGGCACCGGAGCAGAGCTTTGCAGCACCCAGGCTGGATTTGCAAAACCTTTGGGAGCTCTTCTCCCAGAGATGACTGTGCAGGTCTAGCATGAGAATTCTATCCCAAAGTGTGTCCAGGCATGCTGTGGGTGGCACTGCCTGAGCTGGAAACTGTTAAGATGTGTATGTTGGTTACTGTTTCCCTCCTGAGGCCATAGCTTTTGGCCGATTTGGTTTTCCTAAAATCTTTCCTTGTGTGCCTTGATAATTGTGCATATGTAAGAGAGGGCACAAGAAGAGGGTAGAGAAGAGTCTCTGCTTTTGAGGCCATTGGAAAAAATTGGTAAGGACTTTGGGGTTTGAGGTGCAAGGCTTTCTCTATTCAACCTTAAAGTAACATGGTATTGCTTTTGAGATAATCCTCCAGCCCTCACCT